CTGGTGAGAATCAAGGAAACTGGGCTGATCCCAGATTTGATGGGAATGGGACACATGGAACCAAATCTCTGGCTGTAGCTGCCTGAGGAGACTGGAGGGATTTGTATTTGCCTCACCTTCCTTTTGAACTTTACTCTGAGCAAATACAGAGCCTTTCTCAGGGTGGAAGATGACAGTTCAACAAGAGACAAGGGGACAGTCGCATGCTGTGGCACCGAAACAAGGTAACAGAACATAAGAAACCTTTAACCACTTCTAGGTGTAGGACTAAAAGGGAGGTGGCAGGAAAAGGAACGAGAACAAGCGGGAGGAGAAAGGGAAAACCGCACAGGCTGAGGACAGACCAGATGGCTCAACACCCTCTCGTGTGTGACTCTACTTGGCTCTGTTTCTGGAGAGACGATGCCGAAGAGAAAGAATCCTACTTCCTGGGGCGCCTGGGTAGCTCAGCCGGTTAAGCATCTGGCTCTTGGTTTTGGCTCAGGTCGTGACCTCATGTTTCATGGGACTGAGCCCCATGCTGGGCTCTGTGCTGACAGCATGGAGCCTGCTTGGGATTCTCTTTCCCTCTCAAGATAAATAAATAACCCCCCCCGCCCCAAATCCTATATCCTCACGTAGTTCCCCGTTTGCTAAGCTGCATGGCACTGAGGAAGCATGTCGGCAGAAAGGCCAGGTCCCGGGAAGGTTCGTTCCCAAAGGCCCCATGCATCACCTTGGTGAGCACTTGTCACTGGGGGCTGCACCTTCCTCCATTTGACCAAACCAACACCAGAAGGATGACCTATTTACAAGGTCTGCCCTTTCCGTCGGCAATGGGGGCGTGGGGGTGGGTGGTGGGGAGGAAGGCTTGCTACGGGTCTCAGTGGGTCACAGAGCTGTGGAGCAAGAGCAATTCCTGGGTCCCTTAGCCCAACTTTCTGCCCGGTAAGCTTGTCCCTGACCCATGCACACCTGGTTTCCATACAGGACCCCAGGCTTTTCAGAGCTGGTGGCTCTGGGGATTACGGTTAGGCTGGGAGGACAGTGTGCCATGGCTCTCACACAGGGGCCGGCCCGCTACCCTGATGCCTCCTCTTGTTAGGCGTGTGGGAGACGTTCTGCACCGGGGTAAAGTCGGGGGGCTAACAAGACCTTTCCTTTGGCTTATAACATGCTGGCTTGAACCGTGTTTTTTTTTTTTTTTTTTTATTTTTTTTTTTTTTTTTTTTTTTTTTAATATTTTTATTTATTTCTAGGAGAGAGAGAGACAGCGTGAGCAGCAGAGGGTCAGAGAGAGAGGGAGTCACAGACTGAAGCAGGCTCCGGGCTCTGAGCTGGCAGTCAGCACAGAGCCCGAAGCAGGGCTCGAACCCACGAACCGCGAGATCATGACCTAAGCGAAAGTCGGACGCTTAACCGACTAAGCCACCCAGGCGCCCCTTGAACCGTGTTTTAAAGCTACTTGGATTAATGGCTAATCTTTAAAAATCAGGAGAGATCATAATAAAATTCAGATTTCTAGCTTCTCTGGAGAATGTGAAGCCATGGTTAAGTAACTGGGAGTAAAATCTCACTTGGCAACAATCTGTGGGGGCTGAGGAGTCGCCTCTGCTGTCTGCCAGTCCCCATCACACCCACTGCCCCAGACCTGGCTTCACTTTACATTCACCACTTATGTTACTAATGCCCCTGTGGTAACTTGGGTCTGTGATCCCAGCTTACATGCTGCTGGGTGTCCTCTGTGTAAATCTTCCATGTTTTTTTCCTACCACGTTGTAAAATATAGATATAGAGCATCTTATTAATGCACTGTATGTTAACTAACTTGGACTTAAATTAAAGAAATGTATATATGTAGCATCACTTAAAATTTTTTTTTATAGTAAACTCTACCTCCAACGTGTGGCTCAAACTCACAACCCTGAGATCAAGAGTCACATGCTCCACCGACTGAGCCCGCCCGGTGCCCCAGCGCCACTTTTTATAGCTGTGCACTCTATCGTTGTGAGCATCTCGCTCTCGGGCTGTTCACTGCTGGACTCAACATGTGATGGAAAAGTAAAATTCTATCTTGTCTAATCCACTGCTATTTTTGGGCTTCCTGAAGTCACAGCCACATTGACCCTTATTAACAGAGGGATGTTTATGGGTTTCTTATTGACTAATATTACTCATTACACATCACTATTTATCTATATCATATGTGTGTTAACAATTTCCGCCAGTTTTTCATTTACTTTTATCTTAGTTTATGGTGTTTTTTGGCAAAAAGGATTCAAGTAATTGTAGTCTGGCCTCGATGTACCAGTAAGAAGGGTCTTGCCTCCTTAGGGGATGATAAAAGTCATTTCCTCTGGTCTTCTTAAAGTATTTCCAAATTATTAGCCCAGTGCCCCAAAAGAGCTACTGGAGGTTTCTCTGGCCACATGGTAGCAGTGTGATCCTGAACACTTAAATGGGGCCCAGCCAGCCACCCCCTAGGTAAGCCCTGTGGTAGCTCCCATGGTAGCCAGTGAGACCCACGGCCTGGCTGCGCCTGTCTCTCTCTCTCCTCCCCCAGCCCACTGGCTGCATGTGACACCAGCCTTCCTTCTGGTCCCCAAGCAGGTGGAGTTCATTTGATTGCCTCCTCCTCAGGCAGGCCTCTCTGCAAATGCTGCCTCCTGGGGAGCCTGCCCAGGTCACTCCACCTAAAGGTGGCCTGACCTCACTCCCCCACGCCAGCCTTCCCGGTGGCATCACGCATCACTCCGGCATAGCCCCAACTGCACGAAGGACCCGTTTCAGACTGTGAACGCCACGATGATGGGGCTTTCTGTTCAGACTAGTCCTGGCAACCAGGAGTAGTTGAGAATAAAAGAACAGGTGAATCTATCATTTCTCCAAGGGATCTGAAATGATATTTTCAGGGGCACCTGGCTGGCTCACTTGGTAGAGCATGAGACTCTTGACCTTGGGGTCGTGAGTTTGAGCCCTATGTTGGGGGTAGAGATTATTTTATTTATTTTTTAATGCTTATTTTTGAGAGAGGGAGGGAGGGGAGGAGGGAAGGAAAGAGAGAACGAACGAATGAACAGGGGAGGGGCAGAGAGAGGAGACACAGAATTTAAAGCAGTTTCCAGGCCCAGGCTCTGTGATGTCAGCACAGAGTTTGATGCGGGGCTCGAACCCACAAACCGTGAAATCATGACCTGTGCCAAAGCTGGATGTTCAACCGACTAAGCCACCTAGGTGCCCCTGGATAAGAACTTAAAAAAAAAAATTCCCATTTAACGTGTTTCTGGTCTATTTCGTCCTTTGGTTTAGTCATGAGTCTACATGGTTCTGATTAGTACAGCTTAGAAAAATTAGTCTTTTTTTAAAATTAGAGGCAACTTTTCAAGGAAAAAAAAAGTCCTACTGAATTTAAATGGGAATTAAAGCAAAGGTCTAGATTTTGGATGGAAGTGAGGTCTTCCCTTAGAGTGGGAGGTGCGTCTCCACTCTCAGCCCTTCGCCATGGGCCCCAGGGAGAGCGGAGGAGCTGGCTGGCAGCAGCCCCGGGGGCTGTGCTGTACTCTCCTCAGCCTTTCCTTTGCTCCACGTTCACAGGCTTTTTACTTTCTGCTCAAAATCTGTGGTGGAACAACTCTTGGCCCAGACGGTGATATCCTTATAGATCAACTTCTCACTGACTGTTTCAAACTTAGAAAATCACTTTAAGAAGAAGTGATACAGTTTATATAAAAGCTTACTTGAGAATAAAGCCTATTTTTCCATATGTTCAAGTCTCTTCATGTCTTTCAGTATAATTTTCTTCATATTTCTTGTTGAACCTAATCTCTAGGATATTTTATGAATTATATTGCTATATAATATGAATGACAGTGAATGACATTCTTTGTATTATTTTCTATCTAGCCATCTTTATATGGCGATGGCCCCTAATAGCTTTCCAGTTGATTATTTTGTCTTTTCTCAGGCTTAAAATGGTAGATTTAACTTTCTTTGTTACATTTAGAAGCGCTTAGAACTGTGCCTGAAGCACACTGGGTGTCCAATCACCAATAGCAGTTATGTTCTCCAATTTCTACTCTTAGCTAACTGAACCGACAAGCAGTTCCAAAACAAAATAGTGGTGACAGTCTTCTATTTGACTTTTGGTAATGCTTTTATGTATTTCACTATTAAAAACATGCTAAGGACTATTCTGAAATACAGGATTAAAAAAATCATCCTTGTGTACTACTCTTTATGCCTTAAATTAAGATAGATATTTGATCTTATTACATGTCTTTTATCACCTAAAGATATCACATAGTGAAGTATATTAATCAAGCTCTCAATATTAAGCCATCCTTTGCATTTCTGGAAAAATCTCACTTGGTTATAGTTTCTATTTGCTGATGTTTTACTTAGAGAATTTATTTTTATCTAGAGAGCGAGCAAGCACAAGCAGGGGAGAGAGGCGGGGGGGCGGGGGTGGAGAGAGGGGTGAGGGGAGAGAGAGAGAGAGAGAGAGAAAATATGAATCTCAAGCAGGCTTCATACTCAGCACAGAGTTTGATGTGAGGCTCAATCCCATGACCCTGGGATCATGACCTGAGCCGAGATTAAGAGGTGGATGGTCAACCGACTGAGCCACCCAGGCGCCCCTTTATTCGGAGAATTTCAAACCTATATGAGTAAGTTAGACGGATATATTCTTTTCTTTTTTTAGGGCTATCTCTGTCAGGTTTTGGTATAAGCATTATGCTTTACACAGAAACACGTAAAACTATCTTTACTTTGCTCTGCTCTGGGATTTGTTTCAGACAGCATAGAATATTTTATTCCCTATAGGACTACAAGAATCTGCCTAGAAACTGGGCATGCTGCTTTCCTGAGGAGGAGCTTTTTAATTACTTTCTCATTTTCCCCGTCATTGCTGGTCTATGTAATTTCGTATCTCGTCAGAAGTCCCAATGTGTTATGTATATATAAAATCCTTTTTCATTATGTTACCTTACCAAGATTTCCCCTACAAAGCATTCACTTACGGTGGGGTCGGTCCAGAGAGAGCATCTCGAACACTCCTGGCAAGGGGCTCCTGGTGAGCGAGGATGCTGGCAGAAATGGTCATATCCGTTGATAGATACCCGACAGAGGTAGCACATTTGGGCACCACAGCGGCAGGACATGCGGTTGCAGCCTTCGGATTTGATGAGGCCAGTCCCACACTTGTGGCATTTTCTGATGCGGGCTGCTGTCATTTTTTCCTCACTGAGAACACATGAGAGGAGATAGCAGGGAAGATGACAAGGAGAGAATAGCACTGTGTCCACTAAGTACATCTTCCCACAGGGGACCGCCCAGCCCTTCTAGTGACACCTGAAGAGTGGAAAGAAACTGTGTTTTGGAGTCAAGAACTACGTTCAGGTTTTTTTTTTTTTTTTTTTTTTTTATTTCTAGGAGAGAGAGAGAGACAGCATGAGCAGGGGAGGGTCAGAGAGAGAGGGAGACACAGACTCTGAAACAGGCTCCAGGCTCTGAGCTGGCAGTCAGCACAGAGCCCGACGCAGGGCTCGAACCCACGAACCGCGAGATCATGACCTAAGCGAAAGTCGGACGCTTAACCGACTAAGCCACCCAAGTGCCCCACGTTCAGTTTTTTAAATTAGGAAAGCCCCGCTTCCTTCATCACGTTTTGAGGATTATTAGATAGGAATATAAAGTCCCCTGGCACCTGCATTTAGAAACTGCCTATTGTTTGTTATAGGCGTAAAACAGGAAGGGCAAACGCAAGGTCTTCCTAAATAATGTGTTTTATATAGACAAAGCTGGTTAACGAAGAGCAAGTGGGCCTAAACCCGAGTCGCATACAAACCTTGGGTCTCAAATACTTAAGTGTGGGGTGGGGAGACACAGGTGGGGACAATCCAGCCGCCAGTTCATAACTCCTTCCTGCTGACAGTGCCCAACTCCATGTCTAAATCCTACATTCCCAGACTCCCTTGTAGCCGGGGGACTGCATGCATAGGAGTCGATCCTGGCCAATGGGAAGCTTGCAGGGAAGCTACTTCTTTCCAGAAGCACTCTACCTGATATGGAGGGGCAGGTGACTAGAGCCAAAATGACACGTCTTGGCTCTTTGCCAAGGGCTGGCACCACTGGATTAGTTTCTTCTGCAGTGTAGTGTGCTCCTAACTCTGAAATAACACTTGCCACCTTGGCCCATGACTGTTTATGTTTGTCTCCTATACTGAGTTGAATTCCTCAAAGACGTCAAAAGGCACCCTACGGAGACTAGGGGAGGCAGGAAGGACCCCAAGAGTGGGCAGCCCCAAAGCTGGGACTTGCCCCACTGCTCTAAGCACTTGTCTTTCTTCCAAATGGAACCCACAGTGATGACCAGGGAACTGCTTCCGTGGAGAGACCCGACAGTCTGGGGAAGAGATCTGATCTGCAGATTCTCTCCTGATGTGGAGAAAACAGCCACCCTCCTCCCATGGCTCCCAGCGCTGCTACGTGAGGGAGGCCAGGGGAGTCTGGGGTCATGCAGGTGTCTTTAATTACTGACATTCAGAAGACTGTCACAGTGTACTCCTTAGAAGCCAGATCATGTGCTTAAAAATAGAAAAATGAACTAGGAAATTGGCTGCTATTCCTTTAGGTCTCATTTCGAATGGCCTCAAATGCAGGAAAGCTCCGGATTGAAAAGAATTTAAATCCAGTTCAAGTTAACAGAAAAATAAATGATTTCTAAGTGTTGCTGAATAGGAAACATTGTCAAAGAGACAAAGTTTAAATAAAGGAATTTGTTATTGTCAACTTGATAATACAGCACGTGTTCACGATTTCAGTTACTCGGCAACTGTGAAGACACTTCTCAATGCTCCATGTTAAGACTTACAAGGTTCAGATGCAAATGTTTCCAACATGAAAACCTGTGACCAAAACACAAGTGCAATTTTCTATGCACAAACTTTCTGTGTAAGATCAGCTCCAAGACTGCTGTGTGGCTTTAAGCTGTCATGTTCTGGTGGCCTGGGGCTGGCTGGCTTCTTCCCTGGGTAGCTGCTATGACTATAGTTGGGGAGAGGAGTGGATGAAAAGAACCAAGGTTACAGTGCCCTTTCCCAAAGACTTGGGAAGAGGGCACACATTAATTTGCTTGCTCTGTCTCACCAGCTATCAGTCACCAAAGTAATAGTGGATACGGTAGGGGAGAAAAGGCACTCCTAGACGAAGGGAGGGGCACACAGAGTGCACACGGCTCAACACTAATGTTCACACAGCTGTTCCCCACGGCAGGAAGGTCCACTCAGGCTTCATTACTACACTCATAAGAATAGTAACAGGTACGGCCAGTCCTGCTAACTTTTCCTGCTTTCATGGCTTGTGATGACCACCTATCCAGTAACACAAAAGTGCAAAATGGGATGAGGAGAAACCAGTTGATTCTTTTGGGATCAGAGTGATTTGGGAACTAGATTCTAAATGAGGCAGGAAACAAACAGCCCCACAGGATGTGTTTCTGGGGAGGACAGGAAGAGCAGCCGGGACTGCAGCTGCATCTGCTGACCTTGTGCTCAAACAGGAAGGTTCCCTGCCTCCCCCCCACCCCCCCGCCCCCTCTACATAACCGATCTAGATACTATAGCTCCATGATTGTCTGTTCTCACCACCAGTGAAGTATGTTGAGAATTTGGGAGCTGTTGTCATTTCTGGCGGCACAGACCATTCAGAATGTTAGATGGCTTTCCTTTGTGAATGTGTGTACGGATTTCTTTTACTATGACAAAATACACAATTTCCATTTTAACTATTTTAAAATTCAGGGGCATTTAGTGTATTCCCAATGATGCGCAGCCATCACTGCTATCTAGTTCCAGAACATTTTCATCACTCCCAAAGACCTGCCTATGAAGCAGGTCACCCCCACATCTGTCTCTGTCTCCAATGGACTGGTCTATTCTTTTTTTTTTTTTCAATTTTAAACATTTATTCATTTTTGAGACAGAGAGCGAGTGAGCAAGTGGGGGAGAGGCAGAGAGAGAGAGAGAGACACACACACACAGAATGCGAAGCAGGCTCCAGGCTCTGAGCTGTCAGCACAGAGCCCGATGTGGGGCTCAAACCCACCAGCAGTGAGATCATGACCTGAGCCAAGGTCGGATGCTTAACCGAGCCCCCAGACTGGTCTGTTCTTTACACAGGCAGATATACGCATGCCTGTGGACACCTCAGACACACGGAGCCTTGTGAGGGTGGCCTTCGGTGCCTGCTTGTCTCACTGAGAAGGTTCTGAGGCTGTTGTGTGGATCTTCGGCCTCTTCTTATGGCCGAGTAAGAATCCCATTCTATGGCATATATTGAACTCTGCTCACTGTTTATCAGCTCAAGGACATCTGTGCTGTTTCCACATCTGGCTACTGTGGACAGTGCTGCCAGGAACATTCATGTACAAGTTTTTGTTGGAATACCTGCCCTATCTCATAGCACTTATTACACTGTATTTTAGGATTTAGCAACAGTAAACTGCTTACAATTCCTGGTATGTACCCTGCAGTTTCTTATTTTTGACACGAGCCAACCAGCACAATTCCCTGGCTCTCTGGTCCACGGAGTAAGGGCCATGTGGTGGGGAAAGGGAGGGGACACCCTTGGAGGACCCCCTTTCTACAGAAAGTACCACCAGATTCCTCCGGGCATCTTGTGATTGGTGCCACCATCAAAGACTTCAAAGGTATAAGGGTGTTGATTCTCAACACATCTCCTATTATTTCTGTTTGGCCTGTATAGGTAGTGGAGCTTCGAGAACATTACTATATTGTAGGTACTTGTATGGAGAATGTGCATTACTGTGACTCCTGAGGTGCTGACCCTCCCTGGCTGCTGTTCCAGACATCAGCTCTTACCAGAGCAAATACACACAGCCTCTGGCAACTGGTATGTAGCTACCAATCTGAAAACGCTTTCTCTGTCCGGTGCGCAGAGAAACCAGAAGCAGTTGGTAAGGACCTCGATCATCTGTTGTCCAACAGGACAACACACTGGTCTACTGTTCAAATGACAGGCAGAGAGAACCTGGGTGAACAGGAAGCAGCAGGTGCTCTAGGATCCATTAATATGGTACATGTGTGCCAGGAGGTGGGAGGTCAATCTCTTCAAACTATGGAGATCTGTAATCTCGATGACGTGCCCATAGTCTGGAGGTCAGGTGTGTGTATTATGCTGCTCCTTTCAAAGTTAAGCACACGGTACTGTACCTTGTATTCCTACCACGAAGAAAGAAGTCTGACACTTGGGAGATCTTTCTGGAGTTTGGAATCAACAAGTGATCACACCTGGATATGCCACTCTGATCTAGTTACTGCTGATAAAAGAGGTTGCCTGGTTTACGTAGGACCCAGGCCAAGAGAGGTTTTTCAGCTATTCCAGTACGCAGTGGCACTCCAATTTATGTCAGAGCAAGACGCCGAACAGAGCCAGTGGCAGGAAGTGACAGGACATCGGGGTGGAGGTTCTGCTCTGGAAAGTAACCAGCTCTTCTCCTGCTAGGAAACACCTCCTGGCCTGTGACCAAGTTCTGGAGGGGTGCCAGCGCCTGGGTACGGGGCACAGACAGTCAGTTTATGGAGTTGGGCAGTGCTCCATCACCAACTCCAAGTGGAACACATGACCTGAGGAAGTCCTAAATGCAAGAAGTGTTCTGTTTAAGTGCTTGTGTCACGTTTGTGAACTAGGGCCTTCTGCTTAAGCGTGCATGTGCACACACAGGCCAGTGAATACTTATGGAAGATTTATGTGGCAAGAGTCATGCTAGGCACTTGGGCACTTTCATCTTCATAATAAGTAGATACAAGTATGCTCTGTACTGTACAAAGGAAGAAACCGAGGCACAGAATGATTAGGAAATTTGTTCAAGGTTCTTAACCATCCATAGCGAGCACTCAATAAATCTGTACTGACTTCATCAAGAAGACATCCTTCTTAGGGGCAAAGCAAAGGCTCAGTTGGCAACAAAGGAAAACCTCTGCTTCTCCCAAACCAAACAAGAGTCCAGAGTAATCAGAACAAATTTTGGGGGGAGATAGCTCATAAACTGGCTGAAAGACAACTCCAAATGAGAAATTTATAGTGTTCTTGGCAATAGCACAACTACTAGACTAAGTATATTGCCTGACAAGATGTCTGCTTTGAAGAAAGAGTAATTTTTGACCTGTTCATCACTTTAAGGCCATGCCACTGGTCAGGGTGGTGGCCGCTCTGAATTATAAAGGCCGGAACACAGGATGTGAGGAATCAATGCTATTTTCTAGTTGGATGGTATTTCTGATGTCATCATGCTAGTTTTCTTTCATTGCCATAAACGTAATCACATCTGGGGATAAGGGCCATGCTTCTGCCCACCACAGTCTGCCCTCTGGCCTCCAGATTCATATCCATCCTACATGTTAACCCAGGACCCCAAAGGTCTCATCCACTGTAGCATCAGCTCTGAGTCCTAAATCTCACCATCTAAACCAAGTTCCGGTGAAGACTCTAGATATGACCCATTTGGGACACACTTCATCTCCAAAAAGGGAGAAAATGGAAGGAAAAAGGAGTCACCACTTATAACCAATGTAGAAATCCAGCCAAGCAAACTCTTTTCAGATCTGAGAATAACCTTCTGCCATTGGACACTCTTGACTCATGGCTCTGTGGAGTAAGCCTTCTCTTTTTCAACTAAGGTAGAGTGTTTACAGCTGAGTAGTTTTCAGTCAACCCGTTTCCTTCCTCTAGAATCCTCGGCATCTGGCAGACTTCGTTCCTTTCACGCTGTGTCCTTCCATCCAAGCTGGCAGTGTTTCTGTGGATATAAAAAGTCTCAAGGGCCGGTGGGTCTCCCGTGTACGTCACAAGGATTCATTTCATTAGACCCAAGGCTCATCCACAGACCGCTCCTAGGCAAGTCCATCTTGGCTTCTGGCTTCTGCGGAGCTGGCTGAGGGGTGATGCCCGAGTTTCCTGGAGGCTCCCCGGTCTGACCGAAGAGATTCAGAGTCCCTCCCCCGACCTCCTGAGAACCCTTAGGTGACTGAAGACTGCGACGCTTGGACCCATCCTTGGCTTTCTCTCCAGGAGTATGCATTTCCTGATGGAGAACGTCTTCATTTTGGGGTCTTTTGTCACCTGGATGGGATGGGAGTTTCAGAAACAATCAAATCCTATTCCTGGCCCCCATCTCTCCTTCTGCTTGCACTTTCCTCTCTCCAGTGCTCAGCCTGCAGGTCTCCTGAGCTCTGTGTCCAGACGCATGGTCTCCACCTTCTGCTTTCTGCATGCCCACAGGGAAGCTGGCGAGCCTCTTGCCCCTGACACCGGGACATGCTCCGCCCTGACTCCTCAGTCCTCACCAGCAGGTCTTTACGGCCAAAGGGACGTGAGCGGTCTGTTCACTGAAGTTTCAAGTATTCTCCAGGACGATTCTAGTGTTGTCCATGGTGCTCCTCACTTCCTTCTGGGCCTTCAAGGGTGAGGTTTCTGAAGTCCATATTCCTACCACTTCAAGACAATCTAGGCTTTCTTCTATCGTGCTCTGTAAGATGCCTCCGGCCTGTACCCGCTGCCTGATTCCAAACCCACTCGCACACCTCTAAGTATCTGTTATAGTCACATTCTACTTCCGGCCCCCAAATCCGTGTGAGTCTTCTACTGCTGCTGTAACAAGCCATCACCGCATTATTAGCTCACCGTAACACGTTATTTGGTAGTTCTGTAGGGCAATGTCCAGTGCAGGTCTCCTCGGATGAACACCAAGGTGTCCAAGGCTAGGTCACCTACTCCAGGACAGAATCTGTTTGCTGTTCACATGGGCTGTCAGCGGACTTGTTCTTTGGGGTGGCAGGGCAGAGCCCCTCTTTTCTTACTGGCTGCACACACTGAAGGCTCCCTGCTTCTAGAAACGGCCACATTCCTTGGCTCACGGCCTTCTTCCTCTATCTCCAAAGTCAGCAGCAGGAGGTGGGGTCCTCCTCATGCCTCTCATAGTCTGTCACTACACCTCTATCTGACCATGGAAAAGCTGTCTGCTTTCAAGGAGTCATGTGATTAGACTGGGCTCACCTGGATAGGCCAGCATCATCTCCCCACCTCAAGGTCCATAACCTTAATCACATCTGGAAAGTCCCTTTTGCCATGTAAGGTAACAGGTTCCAGAGATTAGGGCAAGGCCATCTCTGGGGGTCACCATTCTGCCCACCAAATTGGTGGGAAAGAACATATCTGGAAGCCATTTGTCTAGATTTAAAACCCTGCTGTGTGACACTTACTACCTGCGTGACCATGTGCAAGCTACTTGGGCTCAATGCCTTAGATGTATCATTCTGTAAAATGAGGATAAGAATACCAACCTGTGGTGCAAACTCGGAGACTGTTAACTGCCCTAGTCATTTCTCACTTCATTTTCTTAGTAACAAAACCCACTCTTCACCTTTCAAATCTAAGTTGGACATAAAATCACTCAGCTAGGGATTATATATGGTGTCTGCTGTGAAGCTAGGTGGTAGCCATGTGACTCAGTCTAGACCAACAGGGCAGGAGCAGAAGCTCACCCCCCAACTCCCAGAGGCATCTTACAACTTAGAAGCTGCCTGCTTAGCAGCTTGTCTCTTTCTCCTCTGCTATGGACTAGAGTGTAAATGTGGCTACAACCCCATCACAGTCACATGGATGAGAACACCACCTTAGGGAATGGTGCAGTGATGTGATAAAGGAACCTGGTCTTTGAATGACCTCACGGGATAGACATGCCTGGCAAGTCTGGACTATCATAGAAGAGAGGAATGGATTTCTGTATTATTTAAGTCAATGTATTTAATGAGTTAGTATCTGTAAAGTGCTCAGCCACATAGGGAGTGCTAAATAGTCACAGTGCTGATTATTACCTATTGCATTATTTTGCATTCTGGAGGCTGTAATTCTGCTTAATGTCTCAGGCCACCAGTATCCTACAGGAAACATGGATGTAAGCAACATCAGTGCTATCTAATCTAGTTAAAATGTGTTACTGCTTATTTATTCAGATTATAAGGAGAAGAGGAACTAACAGTTACTGAATTTGCACGTGCCAGGTATTTACTGTATCACAACTGACTGCAGGACCGGCTCTCTGAGGTTGAAGAGATGTGGAACCAGAGGGAGATAAGGTCACTTCTTGAGATCGCTCAACAGTGGGGTGGCCTGAGAGCCTGTTCTTCCCACGACACTCACTGTCCCCTGGCAAAAGAGCAGGCTAATGGGGAGTGGAGAACCAGTTTTAAGGGCCTCTGAATGGAGTCACTCACATAGATGTTCGGTACTTGATGTCGTCCTTCTCAGCCAGCTCTTCACAGGTGAGGCCACTGTGCTCCTTCCAGAGTCCCTGACACTTCCTACAGGTTTCCTGGGGATAAAGGAGACAGCTTCTGGTGAGGTGACACCACACAAGTTTCTGTTCAACAACAGGAAATGCCAAATGGCTCACGTGGCTCGAGTTCTTTCTGAGACCGATTTAAAGACGGCTCTCAAAGGAAAAGGGAAGAACCATTAGAAGAAAGCACACCCGATCACCCAAACTGTAGAGGCCTTCTAAAATGTCATGTCAGCAGCCACCTGAAAAACACCAAACCAAACCCACAGCAGAGAGACTTACCTGAAACTGGGTTTTACATATCAAATCCTGGCAGCTGCCTGAGTGTAGGGTATGTGTGGGTCTCACTAGTTTCCGTAATCCCCGTGCTCAGGGTTTTAGTGTCGGTCTGGCACGGGAATACTTCTGAACTGAAGAAAGGTCTAGAGCAGAATTACTAGGGGTCCTTAAGGAAGATGCTCCCTCAGTCATCCCTCACTCACAAATACAGGTATCAACCTCCACAGCTTAGCCTCATTGATAAACGTGAATTTTAAAAAATTACTACTTTTTTGGAGGTGCCTGGGTGAGTGTCCGACTTCAGCTCAGGTCATGATCTCACAGTTTGTGGGTTCGAGCCCCGTGTCGGACTCTGTGCTGATAGCTCAGAGCCTGGAGCCTGCTTCGGATTCTGTGTCTCCTTCTCTCAGCTCCTTCACTCTTCATGCTCTGTCTCTGTTTCTCAATAATAAATAAATGTTAAAAAAATTACTACTTTTTATTCTAGGAGGCTTTATAGTTTATAAAATATTCACCTGTGTCAGAAACTATCTCACATCTATAACAAGAATTTAAAGAAACATCAGGCCGCCTGGGTGGCTCAGTCAGTTAAGCATCCGGCTTTGGCTCAGGTTATGATCTCATGGTTTGTGGGTTTGAGCCCTGCGTTGGGCTCTGTGCTGACAGCTAGCTCAGAGCCTGGAACCTATTTCAGATTCTGTACCTCCTCCTTCTCTCTCTGACCCTCCCCTGCTCACACTGTCTCTCTCTCTCTCTCTCTCTCAGAAATAAATAAAACATTAAAAAATTTAAAAAAAATTTAAAGAAACATTAATCCAGTTAAATTTCCCTAAGTGGAAATTACAACCTTACTATGTACAATGAAGGAAAAGATGGTGTCATCAGCTTTAACTAGGGACCCGATCTAGTCTGGGGCTGGGGTTTGGGGGGGAGGGACAGACGGTGAAGGCTTGAGGAAATGGAGCCTGACTTCTGACAGAGGAGTCAGAGATAGCAAAGAAGAATAGCACTTTAGACAGAGGAATAGAAAGAGAATGCTCTGGCAGGCAAGGCTGGGCAAGTTTCGTTCCTGCAGCTGGACACCAGAGAGTGACAACAGGGTGGGGGAAGCCTGCAGGGATCCGTCCATGTAGATGCGACCACCAGTTTGGCCTGTGTCCTAAGAGTGCCAGGAAGGCATCAAAAGGTATTAAGCATGGAAGCAACGTGATAAGGTTTGTGGTTTAAAAAATCACTGTGGGGGCGCCTGAATGGGCTCAGTTGGTTAAGTGTCCAACTTTGGCTTAGGTCATGATCTCATGGTTCATGGGTTCGAGCCCTGTGTTGGGTTCTGTGCTGACAGCCAGCTCAGAGCCTGGAGCCTGCCTCGGATTCTGTTTCTCCCTCTCTCTCTGACCCTCCCCTGCTCATGTTCTCTCTCTCTCTGTCTCAAAAAAAAAAAAAAAAAAAAAAAAATTAAAAAAAAAATCACTGTGTGTGGAAAACAGACTGGAGAGAGGAAGGAGTGGACATGCCAAAAGACAGCTGGGAAGTTGGTAAAGCCATCCAACACAGAGTCTGGGAAGGCCCAGAACAAGGAGGTAGGTGAGGACAGGGAGGAATGTTGACTGGAGAGAAATTCAGGAAGCTGTCAAGGATGAGGTCTTAATTTTCAGTTTGTGCAACCCAAGACAGAGATGGAGTCTGGCAACAGTGGAAAAGGTCTGGCTTGTCCACCTGTGGGACCCCACTGGCCGTGTCAGGCAGTGAGTTGGATGCAAATGTTTAACATTTGAGAGTGGCTGGGACAGAGGTTGCCAGGAGACGGATTAGACTTTATCTTTAAAAAAATTTTTTAATGTTTGTTATTTTGAGACAGAAACAGAGTGTGAGCGGGGGAGGGACAGAGAAAGAGAGGGAGACACAGAATCGGAAGCAGGCTCTAGGCTCTGAGCTGTCAGCACAGAGCCCGAGGTGGGGCTCAAACTCATGAGCCACGTCAGCATGACCTGAGCTGAAGTCAGACGCTTAACTGAGTGAGCCACCCAGGCGCCCTTAGATTTTATCTTAAGGTCAATTCTAGAAACATCTCCTGTACTCTCCACTTACTACTGAATTTTCTCTAACACATGCTGTTAACGTGACTCAACAAGGCAGAGACTAGTATATACAGTATAGACTCGACCATTTCTACATAACAAAGGTGGTGGTGGGGGATTATAGTGACACATCAAGTCAACCTGAAAGGCCACCTAAGAAATTGGTAGTCCTGATCCTACCGAGTGGCTGGAAGGCGGGGTGAAGACTTCTTACTGCAGGCTTTTTTTACCTTATGAATTTTATACCATATAAATGTACCATCTAATCAAACAATCAGTAGCATTTGAAAAGAGAGAGAGTGAAATGAAGTGGGCTGCTTCGGAAGCTGAGAACCTGGACAGCCCTTTGGGGGATGTTGTAAACGGGCTATAATCAGTGGAAAGGGGTGGGTGGGGGGTAGAGATGAGTTGATCAGAAATTCGGTATTACACACCACTGCTTACAAGGGATGTGGTGCTCTCTGTTCCCCTACCTACTTTCCCCACCAGTGAACAAAGACTAAATCAGGAGTGGCTTAATTATTATACACCAAAATGCAAAGCAGCCCCAAACCCATTTTTAAAAGACCTTGTGCCTGACTATTCTGGGAAACTCGAGGATAAACAACAGCTGGAGAACAGACGAGCTGGGATCTGGATCCTAACCTTCAAAACAGCACTAACCTAGCCACCCACTAGGAATAGGAGCTTGACAACAACGCATGGGGTTTAGACAGTGCTTTCTAGCGCTCGTGGTGATGCAGTTATTAACTCATGGGACCTTCTCCATAAGGAAGAACCCATCTTCTAGGTGACACATGGTCAGTGACAGCAAGATGGCCTGGCCAAATGGAGTCCGCTGTGAGTGGTCACACATATGACGACAGGATGCCACCACAACTCACTTCTGAAAGCACAGTGGTTCTCCTGCAGCTCCAGAGGTGCATTTCAGCCACGGTGCTACTCACCGATGGGCCCAGGGCTCCCAGAGGATAAAACTGAAATGTCTTTTTTTTTTTTTTTAACATTTATTTATTATTTAGAGACAGAGAGACACAGAGTGTGAGCTGGGGAGGGGCAGAGAGAGGGGGAGACAAAATCTGAAACAGGCTCCATGCTCTGAACTGTCAGCATAGAGCCTGACATGGGACCTGAACTCACGAACGACGAGATCATGACCTGAGCTAAAGTCAGACGCTTAACTGACTGAGCCACCCAGGCGCCCTGAAATGTCTTCTGAAGAGACCAGCTAGCTAGGCATTGAAACCCACAATTAAAATAAGGCAAGAGAAAAGCAGTCTGGTAACTTTAACATTTGGAGCTCTCCATGTTGTTTCTTTAAAACATACCCTTCTCTTCTAAATACACTGTGTACTTACTTCACTGAATAGTAATTCTCTCAAGCGCAGCTAAGGCTTTGTTCTCAGACTCAACAAATGCTTAAACAGTATCAGGCAGGATACATATTCTTGATAGTTTCTAACACAAGGATAATTATGTTCTTCAAGGGAGGTTATTGAGGTTAATGAAAACGCCCTAAGGACCATTTTGGAAAGCAGAGTACACTCTGACATGTAACTTTAAAACACGGAAAAACAAGAGGCTCCTGGCCATGAAATTGGACCGGAGACCACACTTTCCATCGCCTGTGTGCATTTCCACACCAGAAGAAACAGCTGACTTCTTCATCACCATCCCAAATGCAAGAAAGAAGGCGGCCCTTCCTTCTGAATGAGGAAGGCATGCACACACCAATGCAGTCAGGAAGGACTGCTATCCCTCTGTGTTCTTCACGGCATCGGAGAAATTCCTGGTTAAGTTTTCTGTTGCCCTTTTGTCCTCAAGATGCATCAAGGTGGGGGTGCCTGGGTGGCTCAGTCGGTTAAGTGCCCGACTTCAGCTGAGGTCATGATCTCGTGGTTCGTGAGTTCGAGCCCTGCATCGGACTCTGTGCTGACAGCTCAGAGCCTGGAGCCTGCTTCAGATTCTGTGTCTCCTGTCTCTGCCTCTCCCCTGCTCACACTCTGTCTCTCTCTCAAAAATAAGTAAACATTTAAAAAAATTTAATAATAAAAGAATAGATAAAAAAAAAAAAAGATGCATCAAGGTGTTCTGACTACTCACTGAGGCCTCAACTCTGCAACAGAAAGAAAACACTCCAGAGCCTCCCTTCAACCACTTTCTGCTGCTTAAATAATGTTTCAAAGGCAAGGCAGAAGATTAAGCTCGGTTTCAGATGAGCCTGTCAGGGAGCTGAGAGTCCGTCAACACGAACAGCTTCCTCAAAGAGCAGCAAACACTGTCCCCGGTCGTCACCTCGTCTACGTACAGCAAGGCTTCCTGCTGCTGGCAAAGAACCCGAGAGAAGAGGAGACACAGAGTTCAAGTCACCAGAGCCCCCAGTCCTTGCCCGATGCTCCTCCAGGCCTCCTCTGAATTTGCTTGGCTCTCTGTGCACCATGCATCCTACCTGTGGGACGTCCAGCCTGCTTCTGAAAGTGGAATACAGTAGAAACTGCTCACTCATTTTTAAATGGTTGTCCGGTGAAACTTCTAGATCCACCCACCAGGGTAGAGAAGTTGTGGACCCAGATATGGAGCATTAGGCTGTGGCCAATTCAAACAGAATCCCTGCGTCTCAAGCTCTCTGCTTTGCCATCTCAGGCACTCCTGGAAACCCCCAAGCCCCTTGAGGCA